AATGATTAGTTCCCAAATATCGGGCTTCACACTCAGGCATGCTAACTCCAGATGAGGCCTTCATTGACCTAATAGAGTCCCTTAGTCCTACAAAACGCTGATCTGCCTTTGCAGCAGAAGCAGCTTCCAGTAGACACGCAAAAATCCTGCGGATTAGGGCGCCTGGGTGGCTCAATCGGTTAAGCGTCTGCCTTCGACTCATGTCATGATCTGTGGGTCCTGGGATCAAGTCCCACATCAGGCTCCCTGTTTCACGGGAAGCCTGCTTCTCTCTCTGCCTCTGCCTCCCTCTCAATCTCTCTCTGTCTCTCATGAATAAATAAAATCTTTAAAAAAAATACTGCAGATTGTGTCTGCCTCCTTGGTGCTAGTGTATGGAGTGTGGCTCAGTTCTGGTTGTTGCGTCAGAAGGGAAAATTTTGGGTAGTCACTGAACACTCTTCTTCCTTGAAACTGACATATCAGCAGAAATGGCCTCTTCTCTTCCCTAGCTGCTAGCTCTTCTGTGTGTGCTCCTGGAAATGCTGTCACTGTCTTACAGATGAAGGGAGCCATGGACACTTAGAGACAGGCAAAGTGGAAAGGTAGGAGAGGAGCCCCTAGTCCTCCAGGACCTTGTAGCACAGTGGACTTCACTCTGGAACTGTCTTGCCCTTAGTGTTTAAATCACTTATTTAGTTTTGTATTCTTGTAATTACAAGTCTTATTTGAAAATACGTTAAATACAAAAATAAGGACAATGTAGGGACATCTACTAAAGTGAAGTGGAATGTATTCACTTTTTTTGTAGTTAAAATGTACCTTCTTTTAGAAAGGTACCTTTTATGGCAATAGCAACTGATAGATTTCTTTTCTTTCTTTTTTTTTTTTTCCCAAAATATCCTTACTTGGCAAAGTAAAATGTTAGCAATTCTACATCAGTCTCCAAAGTAGTTTTGAAATTTTACTGGTCCATGAAATCTGAAAGTCTGGGAACCACTGCACTGACTTGAGAAAAACTCATTCTTGGACTAGGACTCAGAATTGGTTTTTAGCCCAATTGCTTTCCTTTCTGGCCACTCTTTACATCCAGGACTTATGAGTCCAACTCTTGCCCCTCACTTGGCTTCCTGCTTAGAAAGAAGACAAAGGAAAGAAAAGGGTAGTTCACTAAGCTTTAATTTTTTTGACCTTGACATCACTACACTATTGCTCCCTCCCTCTCTCTCTCTCTCTCTCTCTCCCTTTCCATACACTCTCCTGCACACCGTCTCCCCACATACACCAACACATGCATGCACAGAAACACACACACACACACACACACACACACACTTTCTATGGGGATGAGTGCTTTTCTTACCTGTATTCACCATTTGTTAGAATTTGCTCTATTTGTTGTATTGCTCTCTTTCTCCACTATCCCATATAAAAAAGTCAATCTCTGGAAAGCTATGTGCTAACATCACTACACTTCCCTACAAAAATAACTTTTAACTGCACATTTGATTCCACATTTGAGACTGGTTACAGTTAATTACTAATGGTTACAGCTGGAAATTTTGCAATGGCGTTGGAGACTGAAGGGGAAGTTTGAGAGAAGTTTCGTCAACCAGGGTAGCTTTTGATGTGCTGATAGTAAAAAAAAAAAAAAAAAGTATATTTATATATATATATATATGGCTGAAGTCATTTGCAGCAACAAGGCAGTTACACCAAGGAATGCATCTGATGCAACTAAGGCTCAAAGCAGCCATGGTCAGAGTGGCTAAAGGAGGATTTGTTTTTTCCATGAGTTACTTGTTTTTGTAACAGTCTTCTGGGACCAACAAGCAAAGACCTGGATGTTCCTCTTCCCAAATGCGATTTGCAACAGAGAAGCAGTACAGGCACTGGTGGTAGAAGTTGTTTTCTCATAAATCCTGGTCTTCTGCAGGTCTGCTAGGCTCAACTTGCCAGAAGAGGAATCTCTCAGTATCTCCCAGTACACCCCCGCACCCTCTCACCCTGTTTCCTCCTCTAGAAAATTAATAATGATGGGATGACAAGATAAGGGACAGAATGCACCTATAATCCTGCCTGGAATAGAGCCCATAATAGGTGCATGTGACGTGGTATACCCAAGTATGATTACCCGTGGTATACCCAAGTATGATTACTTTCCCCAAGTTTGAAGACAGTATTGAGCAAAGTTAATTTGATGATGAAAATATAAATATCTTATTACAGTTCTTAGTCATTTTTTTAAAAGAGTCTTTATCTTCTAGAGATAGATTCCAAAGTATTTAAAGATGAAATGACATGATGTCTGCTAAAAGAAGCCACAGTAGAGAAGAGTAGATGGAAACAAGATTGGACATGTTGATCACTGTGGAAGCTGAGTGAAGGAGGCATCGTTTAAACTAGAGTCTCTAATTTTACATAGGTTTGAAATTTTCCAACATAAATAAGAAACAAACAAAAGTTGGCAATTTCTTGCCTAAAGTAAAGAACATTAAATCACATTATTTTCAGCAGCATAAGAAACACTTCGCATCCCTCCGCATCCTCTGCTCTTATAGAGGACATTGTATGGAATAAATACATTATCGCTCATTCTTTTCTTCATTAGAACTCCCTAAAAGGACCTTATCTCTCTGTTTTATCAGGGTTTTTCTCCTAGTCAATTATCAGCAATTAAATTATTATGAAGTCGACAAAAAAAGACCAACCTGGTTAAACTATTTGGGGTGAAAATGTAAACATGTTTAAAGTGAAGTTTTCTTGATTCATAGTGACAATGGACTCCAACATGGCTGTCATTGTTAATATTGAGAAACAAGAATTCCTGGCCACCCAAGAAGGCCTTTTAAAGTTGTTTAGGGAGAGAGGATATGAATTTAAAATGATTTGGTTCTGGGGAGGGGGGTTAAAAATTGTGGATTTTAAGGCATGTTCCAGCAAAAAGGTTGGGAAGGTTTTTTGATTTGTGTCTTGATATATATGAATAGCTGATTTGTAAAAAAAAAAAAAAAAAAAAAAAAAAAAATCCACAGTGAAAAATCACACTTCAAAGTTAAAAACCGCTATCCTCTTCCAAAGCCATACTCTCAGAATTCCTTAAGATGGTGGTCTCCCCATATGTTTTAAGTATCTGTTTATACATCATTAGCAATTTCTTTGAAAACCATAGGAGGAAGACAAGCCAAGGAGGAAGACCCTGGAAACTGGATTGTTAGCCCAACACAGCCAGTTAATCTTGAAATTATCATTTCTCAGGTTTGTCTCGCAATTATCATTTAAGCAAATGGGAAATGTTTCAAGCTACACAAATGGAACACACGTAGATTTGTGTAAATCAGGGCACATTTGTAGGAATGCTGACTCAGTGATGAAGAGGCATATTTCCAAGTCTTGCACACTCAGCCATAGCTTCATTAAGGTTGCTGGCAGACCTTGGTTAATTAGCCCTGTGGAAGGACAGTTTTTGTTTTGTTTTGTTTTGTTTTTTCTCCAGAGACTCCAGGAAGGAGAATTCTCTAAGGCTAGCTGTTTGCTAACTTCAGGGTCTGAGAAGTGGTTTGGCTTCCTGGATGGAAGGGTTACTCATTCCAGGGAGGTCAGAGATCTTTCTTCTCCCTAACAGATAACATGCCTAGGTCCAGTTTTCCAGCTAATTTTAGAATTTGCAGTAGTAAAACATTTAGTGAAGTGTTCATTTTAAGTTGGATTATAAAGCAATGCCTATAGTTTTTAGACAAAACACCAGCACTTTTGTATACAAACAAGTGAAATCCTTTAAAATAGTCACTCAAAGTGTATTTGGAGCTCCTTTTGTGGTATCGCCTGGGGTCAGTTTGTAAGGCACAGTATCATGCCAATCATGCCAAAATGATTATATGTAGATTACTCACCAGATCTGGTTTTCAGCTTTTGCAAAATGCAAATGGATTCTACCCTGGGAGATTTAACAATTTAAAAGCTGTTTTGAATGATGATTTTACTCTCAAGGTGAATACAAAGTAATCTCCAGTAATTACTCTGAGGGAGAAAATTCTCATCTGGAGTATTAAATTCTAATGCATTGATTTTAAAAATAAATAAATAAATAAATAAATAAATACCCCCCCCCCCCAAAAAAAAGTCAGGGTCGCCAGGCTGGCTCCGTTGAAAGAGTTTATGGTTCTTGATCTGGGGATCGTTAATTCTAGCCCCAGGTTAGGTGTAGAGATTACTTAAATATGAAAAAATAAATAAACTTAAAGAAAAGCCAGACATGAGAAATGGTTGGTGCATGTAGTTTCTCCAGTTGAGATCAGATGGGGGTTGAAATAAAAGTGTGTCTCAGGGCGCCTGGGTGGCTCAGTGGGTTAAAAGCCTCTGCCTTCGGCTCAGGTCATGATCCCAGGGTCCTGGGATTGAGCCCCGCATCGGGCTCTCTGTTCGGCGGGGAGCCTGCTTCCTCTTCTCTCTCTGCCTGCCTCTCTGCCTACTTGTGATCTCTGTCTGTCAAATAAATAAATAAAATCTTAAAAAAAAAAAGTGTGTCTCCCACTATTTCCCTCCAGCAAGTCTGACACATTGGTGGGAAGTTGGACCCTAAGCATAGTAGGTAATAACATCTTCCTAGCCCAGCCTACATTCAGAAAATCTTCAAAACTATATGTGGCTCTAAGTTATTATCTTGTTTTAAAAGTTCAATATATACTTTCTCTTTTTAATCTCAAAATAAAATATTTAATTTCTCAACTTTGCGTTTTTTTCTCAAGTTTAAAACAATGAATCATATTATTTCTTATTGCAGTTAGTTTGGCTGAAATATCTTCTAGTTTTGCTACCCCCTTTAATTCAAACTCATATTTTAGCCACTTTTGTAGGTGTTTTTTCAGTAAGTCAGATAATATTCTTTTATGTAGTTATTATCTAGATATCTAGGACAATTTCCCAGATACATTTTTTTGAAGGTGAGTTGTCCTCCTTTGTTTTTATATTTAGATACACAGTACCAGGCGATTTTTATATTTACAAAACTATACCCCCTCTAAAACAGGAGCTTAATGTCTAATCATTTACATCAGATTCATTTGAATCATTAAAAACAAAACACCCAAATTGATGATGGGAAGAGAACAGTAAGTGTTGTGATTGTCTTTCGACCACAAAAACATTTCTTAGTGTACTGAAGCTTTAGTTTTCCTTCTCCTCAGGAGTTGGGGCAGAGGGGCAGAGGCACATGAGGTCCATCTCGCCAGGCTGATTCAGGCCAGTGCAGCTGCTGGCCTGGGCACAAGCGTGGGCGGCCACCTGTGGCTCCCAGCACAGCTGTTTGGTAGAAGGCCAGCCAAAGCCCAGTCGGTGGGGTGGAGGCAGGTGGCCAGTTGGGCGGCCAGTACATTCTGGCATGGGCTGAAAGAACACCTGGTTCCACTCTGTAGACCCACCGCAGAAGGTCAAGGAATTTGTTTGCTGGCAGCAACCTGATGGTCTAGCTCTGACTGAAACAGAGAAACCCACCTTTCTTGAAACTTACCCGAAGCCAACACAGGAATCATTCTGCTCCAGTTGTGTTGAAATAGGTCAGTGAGGCCATCTGGCATGTCTGGAAATGGTGTGGGGGGCTGTCAGACAGGAACAGGCTCTGTGATTCAAAACAGGACATTTCAGGGGAGGTGAGAGCTTTCTCTTGTATTTGGCTGCTAATTGCCATTGCAGACACCATCCACCCTTGAATATCTCTGACCATCATTTTCCTCCTCTTCCCATGAACTCTAACTACATGCTTAGAAACCACTTTGGGTCCCCATGTATAATTTTATCACCAGACATAGGAATTTTCATAGGGAACATCACTACCTACAGAGACAGGAACCCTAAGTTCACCCTTTCCTGACCCTTGAAGTCCCACCCAAGGCCTCAGGCCCACTGCTTCCCAGGAAAAAGAACCCGTTTCCTTTGGTTTGGTGAGTCACTTTCTCTCTGGTAGAGGAGCATCCTTCCAAATTTCCCAGTCCCAGATATAGACCAGGCAGCAACCTGCCATGTGCCAAGATGTAACACTTGCCTCACTGGTTCTGTGACCCTTGACAACTTACTCAACCTCTCCAAGCCTCAGTTTTGGAATTTGTAACTAGGGATTAACAGTATTGTCCTCATAGTTTTGTTGTAACCCATCCAGTGAAAGGACATATGTTATGTGCCGAGCATAGAACATGTGTACAACAGGTACTCAGCAAATATTGGTAGTATAAATGAATGACCATGGTTCATGCCACTCTCTAGACACAAAGAGGCCATACCTGGTCTGGATTGGCTCTGGGCTAGAACTTCCTGCTGGCATCTTTGCTTGGGATTTCAAAGGACTCATCTCACAATTATTGCCCGGGCCCATAAAGTAGCCTGCTATGCACAAAAGCCCTTGTGGGGGGCACAGATCAGGCCTTTCCAAGAATTGCTCTCGCCTTCAGCTAGGAGAAACCTCTACTGTGAAGCCTTTAACCTGAAGAAGGTAGTCTGACTTCTGGGACGCCCGTAGCTGGTGGGATAACTTGCCCCTCTGATGTGAAACATCTCTAAGGTAATGTATCCAAGCCAAGGTCCAAGATCAGATCTCTGGATTGAATTTCACAAAACTTAAAGACTAGAACAATGAAATCTTGACCGGTCAGGCACCACGTTCTGTGCCCTGAGGTGAATGGGAATATTCAGCCTCCCTAACCCCTGAACTCTGGACATCAGGTACTATTACCCTTGTGTGACTGCACAGTGTTATTCCAGTATAGATAGATATTGCCCTGGAAATTGTCTTTCATCATCTATGCAGCTCAAGACCTTCAGTGGGCTAATAGAAATCATCAACCAAGAGACAATACAAACATAACCTTGGTTCCCCACAGAGTGGAGCCAGCCCTCAAACTACAGTTTGATTTCGGGCCTCAGATACTATCTGTGGATGAAACGAGGGACAAAGAATGCTAGAAATAACCCTCTGAGAAAAAGATGGAAGACCATTTTCCTTTCAAGTCACAGTTTGGGGTTTTCAAGTCTGAGGTACAAAGCCATTGTGAACAGCTGTTCTTTTTGAAAACATGTTAGTTTATTCCACACATTCTGATGATATGAATGTGACAGAATTCCAAACACAGCTTATCTGTCACTTTTTCATTCAGGGACTAATCTTTTCTCTTTCTTGCAACCACTTATTTAGAATTTTCCAGGCCTCCTGGACTGTGACTTTTTTTTTTTCCTCCCTGAATTACATTTTCCCCCTTTCTTTTAAAAGTAATGAATATTATCCTAGTCACACCAATTCACACATTTTTGTTACAAAGATCAATAACCAACTTTCTTCCTAATTCACCTGAAAAAGAAATGTCACCTGGCCTTTTGGAGCATAAACGCTTAAGGATGATCCTAGTGCTCTTTGGAGAGTGGCAGAGATCTCCACAAGGGTGGATTGTCCTTGGATCAGGGCCCTAAGTAGGAAAGTACCCTTTAGATATTTCAAAGGGAGAAAACAGTTAACTGGAAGCTTAAAAACAACTGTAAATAAACAGACTCGCATCTGAGGAATCTAAGCTAAGGCAAACCTTATTTCTCATTATTTCCCCCTTCCCAACCTCTAGCAGAACTACCCTTTGCAAATCCAGTGTGAAGATGATACAGCTGGTCCCACAGTCTTCTCATTCACTGAGACTTCATAATACTCCAGCCCCTTTTGACTCCTAGAATGACCCTGAAGAAATACTCTCCAAGACTATTTAATCATCGCACCTGATTTCTTCTAGTGTATCAGGTTGAATGTGTGTGCGGGTGGATACAGAGGTAAGCAGAATGAAGCACAACCTGCCTGGGAGTTCCACATCTTCTTATGTAATTGATGAAATTGTCATTATGAACATACTCAAATAGCTAAACATGCAGGAGGGTTACCTTCATTTTAGTTGATGAGTTTTAAAAATTGCTGAGTTACCTTTGCATGTGACAGTATACGCCAGCTCAGCAGTGGCTGAACCATTCATTAGTTTAGCCTCAGAGGAAATGTCTGAAGGTGGAAAATTATGTCCCTCATGTTCCTATGCTCCCTATTGAATTTAAGTAGAAAGATCCTTCTTCAAGTGTCAATACTTTTGTCCAGCACCTTTTCCACAATGAAATATCTTGCAACCTCTTCTATGCTAAAGAATTTACATGGAAAGCAAAAGAAAGAGGGAGGCAAAAGAGTCATGGGTCAATCAGGTCTTCCTTTCCAGGGTTAGAATAGCTGACTAGTGGCCTCTGGGGATAAAGATCCACCAGAAATACCCAAAGTCCTTATATTTAATAGTACTGAAATAAAAATAAATGCAATCTTTGAGGAGGGTAATAAGGATACAACAAATTATCTCAATCCTGGATACTACCTGGATAATTTGGGTAGTGTAGTGTGGTATCCAAAGGATAGATTCCTCCTACTGCAAGTTTAACACCAGCTTTTCAGGGAATAGACAACTTTCATCTGAATCATTCTTACAAGCTGAATTTTTATTTTTACTAAATTATCTATGTTAAAAAAAAAAAAATCTGTGCCTGGTGTGGAATTTCACTCCATCAAGTGTTACAATGATTTTCTCATTTTCATTACAAGCAGGAGAATGAATGTAGGACAAGTGTTAGGAAACATGGCAATAAATTAGAATATAATTTACAAGAGCAAAAAAAAAGTAACAGTGTACCACATTAATACTGAGTATAAAATAATAAGCAACAACTAATCACAATAATACAAAGGTAATTTCATTCTGTATTATTAAGGATGCCTATGTGACATTCACTCCAAAAAATTCCTAATGAAATGGACTGTTTGGGGAGTCATATGTATCTTAAGGGCTTTAATCAGTTGGGTATATTTACCTTTCCTTTTTTGGCAGGACTTTTTGCCAGTGGCAGATACTGCTCTCAGTCATGGGGTACCAGTTTCCTTGGGACTCCCTAAGTAGTCCACATAGCACAGTACTTTGGAGGGACTGCCATGGTGGCTCAGCCTCCACTGACAATCCTATTGCTATTATTTAGGAAGAGAGCATATCACGTAGCCATGTGGTTGACTGCACAGTTAGCAGCGGTATTGTGATGTGCTGTAGAATACGATTTGTATCCCCACTCAGGTTTAGTCCTGTTACATGCTGTGCTTGGTTCCTTCTAGCGGAGTAATCTGATGCTGCGCCTGGAAGCCCTCTGCTCCTGGCCTTGAGGCTGGTGCACACTCCTGAGGGAACACTAGCTGTCCCCTCTTCTAACGTTAGTCAAGGGAGCCCAGGGCAACGGTCCTCACAACGTTAGTTTCCAGGTGAGGTGTAGAATAGACTTAAGTCAGTAATGTAAGAAATCTTTTTGGAATACAAACATGAGCTGATATTTATGTTGGGGAAAAACAGATCCTGACAGGAAACCTATGCCTAAAATGCCACAAAAAGTACTCATCTTTTATTTACTTCACCAGGACACATTAGCACCAAGTTAACTGCTCTTTGCAAGGGACGGAGGGAATTCAGTGCTGGGGCCATGCTGCTCATGGGCTGCCTCCCCTTCACTGAATAGATGGTGCTTTGGCTCGTCTTTTCAGGGCAGTATACAGAGGGGCCCTGGCAATTGTTGTGTATCGTCAGTAGCTTTCTCTGGCAAGCTCAGGGACGTGAGCTATGGTGTTGAGAGAGAAAGCAGGCGAGAAAATAGGGATGACCACGACTGAGTGTGCAGAACATCCCGTGCTGACTGTCCATAGCAAATCTGAAGTTTAGGTTGGTTTTTGAAGTCTGTGAGTCTCTTTTCCTTTCTGAAAAAAAAAAAAAAACAAAAAAAAAACCAAAAACAAAAACAAAAACAAAAAAACTAACCTCTACCTTAGGTCACGGCGTAGCTTATACACCTGACATGTAGTTTGAGCACACACAGTGACGGGTTTAAGTCAAACATACTCTTTAACTGCAAGGAGTATCTTTACAAAGTAGCCATTTGGTTGGAGTTTGAGGTGTCGGTGTAGCACGGTGTACACACCTGTAGGATACAAAGCACATTCATCAAGAACCTGCTGCAAGCTACAAGTGTTCAAGTACAAAATACAAATAAGTACCCTCTTTTTTTCCCTTTTCTTTTAATCCCACCATTGAAGATTTTGATGGCCATGACACGAAATTACTTGTGGATAGGGAAAATATGAGCTAGCCGATTTAATTTAGGATTCTGGATTTGATTCTAGAATTTGACTTGCCCAAGAAACTTGGTTTCACATTTGATTGCCATTCAGAGTATCCATAAAAAATACAAAATAGTTGGTTGAGTGACTATTAAAATTATGCTTTATGATCTTTAGGCTTCATGAGTTTTTCTTCTTTGGTTGTTATCCCTTGCCTACTTTAAAACTCACAGAAATAGCACATTTATGTGCAAGCACACTCATCTAACCCACACACTCAAAAGCGCCCGCACACACACACACTTGCTTTCATATAAATAAATGCCCTTCTGCCATATCAAAGAAGGGACATCTGGAACCCATCACAATTGTCAGCAAAAGGGTCTGCCTGGTTGTTACTGAGCCAGTCTATCTTTTGCACGGCATCATTTCAGTAAGCTCAACACGCGTGCAACAGTCCAACAGGGCAGAAGCTGTTCTGTGGCCGGTGAGGATGTCAACACAATTGAGTTGGGGTGACCCAAAGAAGAACTGAGGCATCCTGTGTGATGGCAGCAAAGGGCCCGTTTCTTCGGTCTCTACCATACCCCTGGTCTGGCTTCTGCATGAAATCGAAATGTTTTTCTCTTAAAGTTTTAATGGAAATCTCAGCTTCACTTGCACAATGGCAAGTTGGCCACAGTCTTTTAGCACAGGATTTATAGACTCGCACAGCTGCAGTAACTGATGCACTGCCTTCAGCTAATTCCTTCACTGTTGTTCGGTTTAATATAGTTTATATATGGCTCACAGCAGTGTTCAGAACAGGGGGGTTATTCCTAAGGAAATTAAGTGGAATGAAGAAAAATCATACGAACTTTCATTACTTTTGATTTATAATTGCTCCTTAAATTACAGTTAAAAGCCCATTTTAGAATTTCAGTTGTGGTGCTGTTGTAGTGAGATAAAGTATAGTAAATATTTTTAAGCTATGACTTAAGATTTCTGAATCTTCTTTTACTTCCATAGTTGACCAAGTCATAACAGCTACATTTTAAACAGTTTTAAATACAAATGGATTCAGTGTCATTGCTAAGTCCATAATAAAAATTATCTTAATGGTCCAAGGAGGTAAACAGGCTATTGGATTTACTCGAAAGAACACAGACGTTTCATAGTAAGCAAGTCTCCCTGTGTTGTTTGGATCTCTCCGATCTGGCATTCCCTCCTTAATACTGTGTCCAGCACTTTGGATCAATAAATCCCACTTCACAGAAGTTAAAATAATATTGAAATCCTGTCAGCTAGGGCTGACCAGTGGTTACGTTTTCCACAGGGTAATGCATTTGCAAGGACATCAATCCTCTTCCTCTGGGTGGCTCTCCTTGATGGACGCATTTCCACGATGAAATGACAAGACGCTCTCTCTGGCTTTCCGTGGGTCAGTGTCCTTGGCAGGTCTTACAACACATCTGTCTGAAGTATGCTCGACTACAGAACTTGAACTTCAGCACCAGTGGGCAATAAGCCACTTTGTTCACATCTTTGCACTCTAACGAATGGGGGCAGAAAATGGAAAACAATTAGAGGCACATAAACAAGTGCATAAACAAGCCAATGGGACTGTGTGTTTGGTCAGGTCCCCCTTGCACCAATCCACCTTGGCTTCCACATCCATGTGGTTTTTGTTTTTGTTTTTAAGCATACCCTGTCTGGTACAGCCTACCAGAAACATTCTTTTGATAGATTTTAACACAATTAAAAAAAAAAAAGATTGCAAGGCTTTTCTCCCAGACTTTTATAAGTATGGTGCATGCCCACTGTGTCTTGAAAGAATTACCATTTGTTGGGATAAGTGATCACTTTAGACAGCTTGGAAACATGAGTCATTTTTCTTACAGCGCTTTTATTGCTTCTTTCTCAAGGGTTATTTTATTCGGCAGTGCAAGGTTATCCAAAATCAAACATGAGTTTCATTGTTTGATACCAAAGTACACATGTCTCAAGAGAATCTCTGCATCTGTGAGGCGTGGGGATGGGCCTGGGTGAATGAAAAGGATTGCTGACAGTGGCCTAGATTCAGCAACTACACTAGACAAAGAGGAAAACTTTGAGGGGTTGGCCTCAAATGGCAGCAGTCTGTGGGTTATGGAAACATGTAGAAATGTCTTTTTTTAATTTGGAAGTGAGACATGGCCTTCTTTTTTCCTATGTGTATTTTCTCCTCAGTGCTAGAATTGCCACAGTTGAGGTCTGCAGTTCTTGCAGCCAGAAGGTGAATAAATGATTCTTTCTCCATCTACCCTTGAAGCTGGTTGCAGAAGATGGGGCGAAGGGGCCAGTGTAGAGACAGGCACACCAGTCTTTGATCCTCAGCACCCCTCTCACCACCACATGACCCCACTACTTCTAATAATGATATTCTTCTCTAGTCTTCTGGTCACTTTTATCTGGGGATTTTAAAATACTTTGTAAACCTAGTAATTAAATTTCCATATGCCTCCCAGAATCAAAGTTCCACCCTCATTTTTCCAGGTGGTTATACTGAGGCATCCTGGGTAAACTGCTGAAGGTAATTAGAATCAGGCAGAACCCTGGGTGAAGTTCAGTGTAACAGGACAGTTTTGTCATTGTTGCTTGCTGGGTTATTTGCAAGTTTTTTTTTCCTGGCTTCAGAAATCCAGTGAAGTTCTAAGAGAACTTCAGAAGGCATATATGATAAACTTGAAGAATTATATGCGAAGGAATGGGAAAGTTTTCCATTATTATTGAGAAGTAAGGTAACAATTTTATTGATCTCACATTCCAGTGAAACACTTAAATTTTAAATGGGAACCCTTAGTCTTCTGTGAATATAAACGCTGTCACCATTGAACTTCTTTACTCACAATTTGACTTACAAAGAGAGTAAAAGTTAGAAATTTGAATAGAAACTTTCCGCACTAGGATTCTCAGTAAATGTAAGTTTTGGCTGAAAGAAGGGCAGAGAGAGAAGAAAATTTTCTTTAAACGTTGTACTAAAAAAAGAAATCAGATGATATTTTATGAATCAAGTATGAATATGAGGCAAAAAGATCTCCACATATTTTAATTTGAAGGTCACTTGGCAATTTTTTCTTCCTTTTCCTGTCATGACCAGTAAAAAGTAACCAAAACAGGTATAGACTAAGAATATTTTCATGGTGGTGGGGGGAATTTTTATCCATGTTACCAAAAGGAATATATTGTCAAGGTAATGCAGTTATTAAAATGATGAGAAGGGCTCCTGGGTGGTTCAGCAGGTTAAGCATCTGCTTTGATCCCAGGGGCCTGGGACCGAGTCCTGCACCAGGCTCTCTGCTCAGCAGGGAGTCTGCTTCTCTTTCACATTTTCCCTCTGTGCTTTCTCTCTCTCTCTTTCTTTCTCAAATAAATAAATAAATAAATAAATAAAATCTTTTTTTAAAAAATGGGAAAAGTCGGGGCGCCTCGGTGGCTCAGTGGGTTAAAGCCTCTGCCTTCGGCTCAGGTCATGATACCAGGGTCCTGGGATCGAGCCCCACACCGGGCTCTCTGCTCAGCAGGGAGCCTATTTCCGCCTCTCTCTCTCTCTGCCTGCCTTTCAGCCTACTTGTGATCTCTGTCTGTCAAATAAGTAAAATCTTAAAAAAAAAAAAAATGAGAAAAGCCAACACAGTATCATTCATCTTTAATTCTAAATCACCATCCTGGGGCTCCTGGGTGGCTCAGTGGGTTAAGCCTCTGCCTTCGGTTCAGGTCACGATCCCACGTTCCCGGGATCAAGCCCCGAATTGGGCTCTCTGCTCAGCAGGGAGCCTGCTTCCCCCTCTGCCTGCCTCTCTGCCTACTTGTGATCTCTCTCTCTGTCAAATAAATAAATAAAATATAAAAAAAAAAAATCACCATCCTAATGAGGCAGCCTGCCAGCAGAGACCACCCCCCCCAAGTTGGCAGCGGGCTTAATGGGATCGCATCAAGTACAAAATAAATTTTAGCCAAAATATAAAGATCATTTAGTTGAGAAACAACAGAGAGAGGAGGACTGGTTGCTTTAAGGAAATAAAATGAGAAGCCAGGGTGCCCTGGTTTAATCCTAGTTTTCTCATTTACTGACTTTATGCCTCTGAACAAACAGCCTCTCTGTGCCTGAGTTTCCCTCTATGTAAACAGGGATGATGAGAGCTCTTACTTCCACACATAACACATCTATCCTATGATGCCACCTGGAGCAGTGCATACACAGTTTGTCAGCACTTGATAAATACAAGACATTGAATTACAACCATTACTACCACTATTAGTTATTATTTCGTATCACCTGATGACAGTAATATATAGATTACTGCTGGCGCATTATTTAGATTACTACTGAGAAAAGGCTGTCCTATTGACCTAAGTCAGTATTTTCTGGGGTTCAGTTTTATTGGGAGATTCATTATTCCATTTTTGGAAGAGTTGCTGCTAGTCTAGGAAAATACTGAGATGAGCAAAATACAAGCAAATACATAGATTTTTCTTTTAGATTTAGACCTTGCAATCCAATTCTTTGACAGATAATAACTAATGAATAAAATATTCATAAGTTGTTCCTCCCTCCAATTACCCCACCATCCACCCATCCAGGCCATTACAAATATACATAACTTGAGATTCAGCTTCATGCTGAAATGAGAGGACTC